GCATAGCAGCATCTACAATTTTACCTTTAAGGTCATGTTTTCAGTAGATATTAGGGATGTAATGATACCAAAAACTCACAGTGCGATAAAATCACGACGAAAGGTTTCACAATACAATAATTATCACTATATTTAAAAAGAAAAAAACTCAATAATTAATCATCAACATGTTTATTTATATCAAATTAGTTCTTCCTTTTAACATAAAGGGCTTCTGCTTTTCTTCATTAGTGAAATATCCAGCTATGACCTTAAGTATTTCCCAGAACTTAGCAGTAATTGTCCTTTGCAATGAATGACTAAACAATGCATGTAATTATAAAACAAAACCAAGTCAGTAGTTCCTTTATAAAATATTAATTATTAATGCAGCAGCTGGATCTTTTAATCAAAACACAATCTGTAATTCTGAAGTAGTGTTTTCTGCCATTTTTCCACTGGGTCTGTTCTCACCGTGTGAAATATAGGCCACGCCCATACATACTAACACACAAAATGATGCGTGAAAACAGTGCACGTGTAACACTTATGAACCTATTTTGGGTCCACTTAGTAGTGCTACTGGCTAGTTCTATGTTTGATGGGAGTGGTGGGGAAAAGATAATGACAGCTCAAAATTTAGGACAACAACCTTTAGTAAATATTAATTGTAGAGCATGAAGAATCATGAACACATTTATATACATTTACATTTAGATGGGAAAAACGTAAATCTACCTCTTTATAAAATATGGGTTTAGATATTGTTTGCTTTGGGTATCTGAGACCTGTGGTTAAATCAGTTATTCATAGTTTAAATCTAGTAATATCTTAGTTCAGTTTTGCTAATGTTTTACTGTATCGTATTAAATAAAAATTTTGTGTCTATTTATACTTATTTAAATTGTATATCCAGTATCTTTAGCACCTATTTATCTTTCCTTTAAATCAGTAACTTCCCCCCACATATGAAACTCAAAATTAAACACGTATACAAGGAAAAAACAAAATCACATCGTATACCATTCAGGCATAATAATATCCGAGGGTTATTATACAGTTCAATTCAGTCCATCATATCCTAACTGCACATGTTATAAGAAATTCAAAGTTCCCTCTACTCATCCTTCACTGTTGCTCCATGGGTCTAGCTCATCATCCTGATATGAACTCTGTTCAGTGGGTCCCTGTTCGGCGAAGCACATGCATGAATATACGTTCCAAATCTTTGGAAGAGTCAATGTAGTGCAGAAAAAAACAATTTATCGTGGTTTAAAACATTTCTTCCATCTTCCTTTTCCTTTAGTTAGTTAAAAAAAATCTTCTTACACCACATAACTTGCTAAACTTGATTTTATAGCTTTTCTTTTTACCCTATTCTAAATCCTATGGTAGTCTGCTGTTAGCACTTGCTGCAACCAGCCTTAACCGCTTCTGCAAATAAAAACCTGTGCTCTCCACATTACGTCCTGACATCACCTCACATTCTGCATACAATCGTCTTTTTTCTTAAAGAGATAAATTATCATTTTGTCAATATACCATAAATGTGTTTTTGTTTCTATTTGACCAATATATAAATTATTATTGTAATAGTAATAGACTTAATGACCTATTGTCATGTGGGTTACAGAAGGCCAAAAGAGCACAAAGCATTCATTAATGTAGTATGTATTTTTTGAGACGGAGCTTATACGAGCGAAATAACCACATGATATCGTGGTTGATATCATAACAGTCTGAGTTTCGAGGTATTTTTTTATCACGATACTGCGATATTACGTTTTTCGTTACATCCATAGTAGATATGTATTTTTAGTTTGCATTTTGTCACTGAACTCCCCAAATATTTGTATATGTCTCAGGTCAAAAGTACACTCTACATCCACATTGAATGATGCAGTTTATTGTTCGATTACATTGTCAATCTCTCATTGTCTGTAGTACCAAGTGGCCACAATGACTCAGCAGCTGGGAGTGGCACTGGAGATACTGGGAAGCTTCGTAGGGAACTCCAGTATAAAATTAGCCAGCAGCTGATGCAACGAGAAATGCCGTCAGAAGCAGGCCGCTCCACTCCGAGTCCCAAACCCACCTCCAGTAATCCTAAAGGTTTATATTTGTCTCAGTCTTTTATATGATGAGGATACATTTACACAGATGATTTTTTTTTCAATGTGTGACTAATAACTGAACATAACATTAATTGTATAGTCATTTGCTAAACTACTACAGGCATGTGGGGTTGCATATCTGAATCAAAAGGTCAAAATGAAGGCCCACAAAAATATGATATTAACGCATTAAATTTTCTTCTCTGGCTGCTTCTGGTTTTATATAATATCTAATATTTTGTAATTCTGGATGTTACCCTGACTAGCTGCTCAGTATTGTTTTGTGTCCCACTCTTTTTCTCTGTGCTGTAGAACGACTGGAGGACCTTTACTCTAAAGGGGCACTAATCGGCAGTGGAGCGTTTGGGAATGTGTATGCCGGAATCCGGAAGAAAGACGGATTACCAGTAAGATATATCTTACATTAGGTCCCATTAGTTTTTGTATCTGTTCAGTTCTATGTAATTTCTGTCTATAAAAATAATCTCTAATATTCTCCAGGTTGCAAATCAAAGAAGTCCTCAAAGACGAAGGGGAAGAGGTAGACATAGTAAGTAGCATGTATGGCTCCACACTAACATTTTAAAGGGGATAAGTGTCTTTTCTGCTCTCTGCATTGCCTCTTATCTGCTTCAACAATTCCACAGCCTGCACTTGGGGGAAAGATGCCCAAGGAGGTGGCCTTGATGATGCAGCTGAGCATCCCACCAACCTGCCCCTACATTGTGCAGTTTATTGAGTGGTTTGAAGGTCCGGAAAGCTGCTCAATAGTAATGGAGAGACCTGAGCCGTGTCAGGATCTTTATCACTACAGCATTGACTGTGGTGGCTCCCTGAGTGAGGAGGTGGCACAGCTGGTGCTGCTACAGCTGCTGCTGGCCCTGTGCCACGGTGAGGATCGGGGCATCCAACACGGTGACATCCAGGCTCAAAACCTCCTTATTCAGACAGAATCTCTGCAGGTTAAGCTGATAGACTTTGGATGTGGGAGTTTTCGGAAAGACAGCCCCGATCCAGAATACTTGGGTTAGTGAAAAAAGATGTTAATCTTTACAGAAATATCGCTCCTTTATACTCTGTTTGCTTTCTGTAAAATAGTGAGATGTAAAGTGAGTTTCTCATGGCATCTTCTCTCTCTCTCTTTCATTTTTTCTGATTTATTGGAGCAGTACTGCATCAGCCCCTGCAGAGTTTTCTGCTGCATATGGATGGCGTCTACACCGTTTTGGACATCAGCACAATGCTCTTCTGTCTAATGTGTGGGACGGTACCCATTTGGAACCAAGAAACTGGGTCTCTGGATTTTCTCAGAGCAGTCTCAGAAGGTTAGTGTCAGCAATGTCACACTGACCATGCCTGATGAGAGAGCCTTCTCACTTTAAATAATATCCCAACTCCAACGTCTGTTTTCAGAATTTCAAGATTTAATGGATTGGTGCTTCAACCCAAAAAGAAACAATCGTCCGACTTTGGAACAGATTGCTTCCCATCCTTGGCTCCAGAAGGGCTGGTAGTCGGTCCAAGCAGCTGCTGATGTCCTGTCGCTGCTCTGTGGAAAGCATACTCACCTGTGGCATCCTGCTATGGTATGCTACTCGTAGCTGCTCCATGGCTGACAAGAAGACCCTCCAGGGAGTCATCAAATCTGCACAATGACTTTGATGGGCCACGAGAATCACCCATCTCACCCAGGCCACCACCTCTGCTCTCTGCTGCCCTCCGGAAGAGGTTACAGTCCTATTAAGACATGCACTTCCAGACTGCTGAAAAGCTTCTACCTGAGCACTATTAAAGTCTCACTACATTATATAATTGATGAGACACAGTCTGGGTTTATGACCGGCAGGTATATTATGAACAATATTAGGTTCATTTTAGATATTTTGCACTACGCTGATTTGGTGAGGGATGATTTAATCTTTATTCTCTTTCTGGATATCCTCAAGGAATTCAATTCTGTTGAACACCAATTTATCTATAAATCTTTGAAATTATGTGGATATGGTGAATTATTTACAAAAGGTCCTATATCACTTTCTCTCTTTTTACTGGTCATGCAGTTGTCCATCCAGTATGTAAAAAATAATATTAATGGTCTAGAATTGGCCAAACATTCATGATAGATGATTCATGATACAATCGACAACCTATTGGTTCAACAAACTTTTTGTAAACCACACCCCCTTACAAGTCAACTTCTTAAAACAGGACCCCAGATTCTGCCCCAACAACACATCTTACTCAAGTTAATACATACTCATGGGAGGCACCAGTGGGGGGGGGGGGCGCAAACCAAAGGAATAAAATCATACAAAATCAAAATACCCGTGTACAAAGCGCGCGCGCGCGCACACACACACACACACACACACACTCTGCAGCACTGCAATCTTAGCCAGGCACAGTGTGAGATCCAGAGCGCCAGCCTCCCCACAGTTCATGCCCCCGTACCTGGTGACAGACAAAACCACAAGTCAGTTTAAGAAGTTAACTATAGACAAACAACGAAAACACAACCAGTACAAGGCAGATCACCGTCACAAGGGAATTAACAGGACACTAATCAAATTATAGTCCCGATCGCTTCAAGAGTACAATCCGGGAACTAAGGAAAGACAGTAGGATGGCACGGCAACTCTCCAAAGTGGACGACGTAATCTCCAGCCGAAGAGGCATCTGGAATGGAATGAATCCACACCAACAACATCATGGGCAAAAATAGCGGTGATAAGTCCTGGCCACTCCAAGGCTGAAACTTAACTGAGATCACAATTATCCTGAAAAGTATACAACCCCAACATCAATACTGAATGTACCAGGTGGCGACTCGACTAAAAGAAGAAAAACTAACCCACCCCACCCCCGCTTGGAGCTATAACTATCCCCGAGTTAGAGGTTTCAAAGCAGCAGCACTCGCCGCTAAAAGCTGAACTGTGAAAAACTGTAAAACGGTCACCAGCACTACCCCACAATCTACAAGGAAATTATATGTGCAAAGTAAAATGGTATTCATAATTTATAACAGAAATCTTTTACATTTACTGTGCATGACTATAACCAAAATCAGAATGTTGTGTTAAGATCAGGTACTTTACCTGTCCCAGTGGGAAATTAATTTTCATGCAGCAGCAAAGTGCATTTAGTGTGGCAGAAAGACAAAGTGCACAGTAGGGGTGTGCAAAGCAGCCGGTATTTGTATCTGTATTTGTATTTGTTGAGGGGGGAA